GGAAGGATTACTCAAGAGTAAGCTGCCCTTGTCGCTGTCTCAGAAATCACAGTAAGAGTTTGTTATGCTCTCAATCTGGCCATTTTGCTCCCAGCTCATTCCCAGCAACCTTTCAGCCATATAATCCATAACTGTGTGGATGACGTTATGACATTTTTCCAGAACAAAAATTTGAGAAATAGCCCCATTACTTTACCCTGAAGTCAAATGGTGCACGGACGGCGGTAGTGTTTACTGAAATGGCACTTTAAAAGCAGGCTATGCCATTGTAAGCCAAGCCAAGGTAAGAGAAGTCCAAGTTCAAAGATAATGTTCAAAACGTATTAACAAAAAGAAAACCTGTTCAAATGTCAACAAAAAGGAATCAGTATTATTGTACATTCCAACAATGAATACTATTCCTCCGTTTTTAAAAAATGCTGGAATTGTGACTGAAATAAAAACAAACCAAGTCACCGGCTGCCACCAAAGCTAAGTCAAAATACTCCAACACAGACGCGGCCAGGAGAAATACAGCTTGGTTGCAAGGTTGATAATATGAGGAAATAAAGGAAACGCTTCCTCACACATCCTCCTCAGAGAAAAGAGGGTATTTTTATATCATTGAAAACTGATGAGGTCTGGGAAAGGCACATTTAAAGTGTTGACACTCTTCTTCTCATGCTATTTTCTTCTCCTGTGGTCGCCAACCCCCGGGTATGTGGCCACCAGTGACAGCACGATGGAACGAGTTATCTTACTTTCCCTTGGGACTCAAAAGGACATGTTTCAGTGTAGTTACTCTTTAACATTCCTGTTCTTTGGCTTGGATCACAAGCTCATCATTTGTTAACATTTTTACTGCTAAGAAAACTGGGAAATTATACTAATGTGACAAAATTTAAGCATAGTAAAAAATCTGGTCTCTCGCTCCCTCTTCACTCATCTCAGATTGTATCTATACACATGCCGAGACAATCTTGTGGTTGTCAGCCTCATCCTTCCTGAAAGATTTTACACTTTTGAAACCTGTGACCCAGTTCTATTCTGTCCTTTTGGGTCAACAGGAGACAGAAGCCACTCCATGCCAAATCAATGGCAATGATTTGGGTTTTCTTGTGTTTGTGAAAATCTTCTAGTATCTTATAACAGGCAATTTAAAAGGAAATATTCCCCATACAGCTGTGAAAACTTAAAAAATATATCGTATTTAAAACAATCTTATAATTGTGCCTAAGTATCTGGGAGCTTAGAAGGGTGGTTGGATAGGGATTAGAGTGGAGAAGGACAGATTCAGGCTGAGTTTGTTTGTAAATCTAAAAACCTAATTATTTGACTCACTGATAGTTCCAAGACTTTTACTCTGATTTAATCTTTGAACAGTTTTATTGACATATGATCCCCATACTATTCAATTCAATGGATTGAATACATTAAAGAGTAACAATCCATTTTAGAACATTTTCTTCATTTTTTATTGTTATTAAATCACCATTTAATTATTATTGTTATTAAATCATTGTTATTGTTATTAAATCACCATTGTTATTAAATCATTGTTATTAAATCACCATTTCCCTCCAAACTGCCCCACTTCCATCCAAACTTCTCCAAACTAACCCTAAGAAACTATTAATCAAGTTACTGTCTCTATAGACTTACTTATCCTGGGTTTCATATAAAGAAAATCATACCAAAATAAAAAAATAAACAAACAAACAAAACCCTCAACAATAACAAAACACAGAAAAACCTAAATCTAAAATCAGAAAATAATGAAAACTAGAGCAAATTAGAAATGGGTCAAAAGGGAAAACAAGTGATGTTAAAATTTGATTTAACTATATCTACATTAATTTACTTTCTGATGCACTCTGTCTGAGTGTAAGGCTATTCACATCCCTGACCAATGGTCTGAGGGAATTAAATAGGAGCTTACTCCCCATAAGGGTCCTGCAAATGGAGTTTTGGCTTTCACTGCTATACATAGCCTTCTGCAAACTATGTGCTCAGAATTTAAGTTCTAATATAATTCCCTCCTCTGATCTTGGATCTTGTTACATATAGTACTTGGATCATACAAGCAACTGTTCTCAGATGAGGAGGATGTTTGAGGAAGTGTTTCCTTTATTTCCTCGTATTATCAACCTTGCAACCAAGCTGTTTTTCTCCTGGCCGCGTCTGTGTTGGAGCATTTTGACTTAGCTTTGGTGGCAGCCAGTGACTTGTTGTTTTTTTTAAGCACAATTCTGTTTTAAAAAAAACGGAGGTATAGTATTCATTGTTGGAATGTTCAATAATACTGATTCCTTTTTGTTGATATTTGAACAGGTTTTCTTTTTGTTAATAAGTTTTGAACATTATCTTTGAACTTGGACTTCTCTTACCTTGGTTTGGCTTACGATGGCATAGCCTGCTTTTAAAGTGCCATTTGAGTGAACACTGCCACCGTCCGTGCGCCATTTGACTTCAGGGTAAAGTAATGGGGCTATTTCTCAAATTTTTGTTCTGGAAAAAATGTCATAACGTCATCCACACAGTTATGGATTATATGGCTGAAAGGTTGCTGGGAATGAGCTGGGAGCAAAACGGCCAGATTGAGAGCATAACAAACTCTTACTGTGATTTCTGAGACAGCGACAGGGCAGCTTACTCTTGAGTAATCCTTCCACGGATACCCAGCCAGTCCCCTTAGTCTCAAGGACTGTCAACCCCTGGTGTAGAGTGAACGGGACTCCCAAAGTGAACTCAGATGCCTCTTTGATTAATCAGTAGTTGCTCCTTCCTTTAGACCAGCGGTTCCCAATCTGTGGTGGCAACCCCTTTGGGAGTCGAAAGACCCTTTCACAGGGGTCGCCTGATTCATCACACTAGCAAAATGACAGTGATGAGGTAGCAACGAAAATAATTTTATGGTTGGGGGTCACCACCACATGAGGAACTGTATGAAAGGGTCGCAGCATTAGGAAAGTTGAGAACCACTGCTTTAGACAATAGTGTCAGTCCTTGATACAGTGTCCAGTTATTTTTTTTAAATCATTTTATTGTGGGCTCATACAATTCTTATCACAATCCATTAATACATCCATTTTGTCAAGCACACTTGTACATTTGTTGCCATCATTCTCAAAACATTTGCTTTCTACTTGAGCCCTTAATATCACCTCCTCATTTTCCCCCCTCCCTTCCACTCCCCGTCCCTCATGAACCCTTCATAATTCATAAATTACTATTATTTTGTCATATCTTACCCTGTCTGACGTCTCCATTCACCCATTTTTCTGTTGTCTATTCCCCAGGAAGGAGGTTACATGTAGATCCTTGCAATAGGTTCCCCCTTTGGACCCCACCTTCCCTCCACCCTCCAGGTATCGCCACTCTCACCACTAGCCCAGTTATTTTTAAAACATGTCCTATAAGCCTTGTGGTTAGTCCTAAATGCTCGGTTAGTACTCCCAGAGCAACCCCTTGCCTTTCATATTCATATAATTGAAAGGCATGTTAAGGTTTGGGAGGCCTAGAACTGGTACTGACCCAGACTTTACTAACTGGAATGCTCAGGACCACCCTGGGAACCTCATAAAGACACTTTGCTGGAAGCCCTTC